TATATCCTAGCCCATCCTGGGGACAATTCTTGCCCCAAACCAGAAAGTATTTCCTCCTTACTGAAATGTATTGCTTACTGTGATGCCAAGAAGACCCTTAGGCTTCGTGAATTACACAAATTTTCATCCTGAGTGTCCTCTGCTTCCTTTTATAAATGTTTAAACTAGCTTCCCCTCAATTATCCTCCCATCAAGACCAGGCCATAGCCTTTGGTGTCCTCGCTGCCTCACTAGCTGTGGTAAATCATTCTCATTACTCTAGCTAGAAGGAAATTCATAGAAGGCTTTTGTGTGGCAACAAAGTGCCCAAGATGTTTCTGACATTTTTCTGGATCTGGGGCAGGTATTCATGCATGCATAATTTTGCTACCAGACTCAACATAGGTCCAGACATATTCATTACCTGAGAGAAAATTTCTTTCAGTAATATTGTACTCCTGTTTTTGTGTCATAAAGAGCCTCAGGTAACATATACCAGGACTTTTGCCTCTGTATTTCCTACTGATGATATAAACGATGAAGTATGGATTGCCCCTCTGCTCATAGCATTAGCCACATGGCAAGGCACTTTCCTCTGCATTCAGCTTCCATGATTTGAACATATGATCTCCTAATTTTTCTAAGTTTCACAAAGGAGGTTAATTCCAGCCACCCAGAATTGTCCAAGAAGTAGTATTGTGTTCATTTTGGACATGAGACATGGTATAGGGATTTGCAAATTTATACTACATATCATATGACAAACCTGGGAGCAGGAAAGAGGATTTCCATTGTCTCATCATTGGGGCAGATGAACCCTAAGCATTGTAGAAGTCTAGGACTCTATCTACACATATTAACACAAAATCCTGAAAATTTCCTATAAGCAAGGAAACCAACTCCCTGGAATATAGTTATATCCAGGAATTTCTTTCTCCCTACTCCTATTATGAATGGCCTCAAACTGCCTCCAAATGACAAATTTTTATTTGGATTGTCCCCTGCTCCTTGGGTTAAACTTACTTGACTTTTCCTTATTTATTCAGAATTTGAAGAAGAGACATTCTCTTACTGGGGCATGCATCCACAGTTTGAACAATTTATTTAATCCCTTTTTAAGCTTAATGAGGGTGTTTTCAATACTCAAATAGTGGGCCAGAAAAGCCCTCAGAAATATGGGATTCTGGGTCGAAAGCCTGGAGCGGGAAAAGCTCTGAGCCTGTCACTTTGAATCATATTTACCTGTAGGTCAGAACACCCATCCACTGAGAAAAGCAGCTCTCTCCCTGGAAAATTCTCCTCCCTGTTTCTGTCTGGAGTTATTTCAGGCACCATACAACTGATCACTTTAATACTGGCATTTTATTACTT